TAAAATGAACTAGTTCAGTTCATAGTTCACAATTCCAAAAAACGAACTAGTTCATAGTTCTTTTTTTTTTTTTTTTTTTTTCATATATTGCTCAATTACACCATAGCCTACTGCAGAACCACAGACAGCAATTATTTTATCAGTTATAACTCTGAAACTGTGCGTCAGATTTCATCTTTATATCCAGTTTTGAATCCTTATCCAACCAGGGTTTACATTAGCATTGAGGGGACAGCATTTCCCCATTGTTGCTTTAACGCTTTGTTGCTGTCCATTCACTTCACACTAGTAGCAGCTGCAGCTTTCACCCCTACAGTATATTCTCAAAAACATCAGGAAAAATGTGCTGCTTGAATGGTCTTTTTTATGAGTAATTATTAAAAGAAAAATAGGAAAGTAGTCTTTAAGGTGCAAATGTTTTTTTTTTATTTTAATAATTTTTTCCATTTGAAATTCCATTTCAATACATACTAAAAAGGAATACTGGAATCCTGGAAAATTATACCAGGCAGGTTTAACAAACAAGTTACATGGATAGTAAAACCCTCAAGAACAGGGGTCTTCTTTTCCAGACCAAGGACCCCCAAACTGATGGCGAGATGGAGCGGGGACCCCCTATTTATATATATTGTATGAAATTGTGTCCTATAGTCACTCTATTACAGATGGAGTAATGTAAAGAAATTAATTTCTCCCTGGGATTATTAAAGTTTTTCTGATTCTGATTCCTGGTTGTTGTGAAGGAAACGGTCCCCAGCTTGAAAGAGCTCCTGTGTGTCGCTGAATGTGAGCATTGATGACTGAAAGACATCTTTTGTCTCCATTTATCTGTTTACTACAGTGTGTTGATTTCATGTTAATGAGTATTTAAAGACATTTCAATTAGTGGGGAAAAAAAATGCGGGGGGGGAATATAAAAATATCAACTAACCATGCAGACCCTCATGCAGTACCTCCGTAGACCCCCTAGGGGTCGCGGATCCCCTGTTGAAGACCTCCGCTCAAGAAGATTTTACTAACACAAACTGAGGGACCAGGCTGAGGTAGGAATTTAAGGTTACTAAAGTGCGGATTTTTTTACTGAAAGCCGGCGGGCAAACTTGTTGCCATCATCCTCACCGACCACCTGGTCATAAAACTGTTTTAAGTGATCATACTGCTGCTGTGGCTTCCACGCTGCATTTTGTTTTGATGACGCACGCGGCTGTAGGCTACGACGCTGGTAGCTGGTGTTGCCAGATTGGGTGTTTTTCCCGCTACATATTAAGGCCTGTTTACGGTGTGATTTAGCCGGGGTTTCGCCTGGAGGGCTTTATAGAAATCTGGCAACCTATTGAACGGAGTTGAACTGAGAGAGCGTGCCGTTCACAGACACCAGAATGAACGAGTTCACAAAAACGTTCATCAGGCAATAATGCAGTACGTTCAGTTCACGTTTGCCCAAAATATGAACGAGTTCATGAACTTTCGTTCAATGAACGCGTTCAGGCACAACACTGCTGGAAGGGCATGTTAGTGATATCATAGATTTGTTGGGATCTGGAGTTCTGCCACCTTTCTCCAGCAGAGGGCGTCCTGGGTCACCTGAGCTGAGCCACCTGCACACCTGAGGCTCATCCTCTCATCAGGAGACCAACTACTTAAGCAGCGGCCAGACCTGTCTTCAGTGCCAGAGTGTTGTCAGTTATGGTTAGCAGAACCTGAGTCAAGCCTGCTGATCTGATACCTTGAAGAGTAATCTGATCCTAACCTGTTTTTGTCTTCTCTGCTTCCTAGACCTGCCTGCCTGCCCTGACAGCCAAACCTGAAGAACCTCAAGCTGAGTCTGTTCCAGTTCTCAGGAGAGAACCTTGGGTGACCATTCAAAGTCTGAGCTCAAGTCTGAAGTCAAACTCTGCCGCTGCTAGCTCTCTGCTGAACGCTCAAACTTTGGACCCAACTGGTTCCCTCTCTCACTGCATCAATCTGAATCTCTCCAGGTACAGATCAGTATCTGACTGTGTCAAGATTCCCCAGACCCCTGGCTAACCTAACTATCCCTTCTCTACAGAGAAACCCTTGTGAAGTCATCCCGGACCAGAATCAGTATCTGTGATTTATTCTGTGTGATTAAAAATAAACTGTTGAACTTTTTACCCCTGTCTCCATGGTGTGTTCTGCATTTGGGTTTGATCCCCATACCCAACATGACAGAACACTCTGGCCACAAACAAACCCCAGCAGACCACCTCCGGAGGTTAATCGAGGAGCAAGCTGCGCAGATTCAAGGACACGCATTAACCCTCCGTGAGTTAAACACACGCCTGGAACATCAAACCCAATTTTTTTAGGATTTTGCAGATTACGTGAGAAATGCTAATGCTGCGCCTGCTCAACTTCCGTTTCCGGAGCCACGTCCGCCTCAAAGGTCAGAACCAGTCACGTCACTTCCGGAATTCCGTCCGTCTCTTCCAGGGAAACAAAAAGGGTAATTGATAATGATAAGAACTAAAAATTAAAATTTTCAGCAAATAGATATTTTACCATAAAAGTATCATAATGGGAAAAAACAGTAAATATTTTTGCCAACTAAGATGTGATTCCAGGGCTCTGTTTGTAGACCAGACATAGCTTTTTCCCATAACAATCCAGATTCTTTCTCAAGGTTTATTCATAACATGTTACTGTTAAGCAAAGTGTGTGTAATTTGTTATGACTCTGACTGCTTTTGATTGTTGTAACTAGGGGGGGACGAACCCTGCCCAGATCAGAACAGAGCAGAATGCTGTGCCATGATGACTGTTCTCTCTTTGCAAAGATGATTAATAAATGTGCCGACTGAGTGAAATCCATCGATCTCCGTTTATTTAACCAGGATGAATAGTTGAATACTTTTTTCCCACGACACCTGGAAAATCAAACCCAAGTTTTTCAGGATTTTGCAGATTACGTGAGAAATGCTAATGCTGCGCCTGCCCAACTTCCATTTCCGGAGCCACGTCCGCCTCAAAGGTCAGAACCAGTCACGTCACTTCCGGAATTCCGTCCGTCTCTTCCAGAGAGATTCTCAGGTACCCCAAATAAATGCAAAGGATTTTTGTTCCAGTGCAGATTAATTTTTGAACATTCGCCTACCAGTTTTTCAAATGACAAGAGAAAAATAGCCTTCATTTTGTCCCAACTTTCTGGTCGAGCCCTAGAATGGGCGGAGGCTAAATTTTCTTCTGAATCCAGTTTTCGCTGCACTTTTTCCGAGTTCATAACTGAATTTTCTCAGGTCTTTAACCAAGATTCAGACAAATCTATTGATTGCCGAGCCCCTCTCAGATTAAGACAAGGAAATCAGACGGTGGCAGACTTTTCTATTGACTTCCGGGTCAAAGCCGCCACTTCTGGTTGGAATGAGTGTGCGCTTAAGAGTGCTTATTTTAAGGCTTTAAATGAAGACATCAAAGACGAACTTGCTACAATTGACGAAACAGCTAGTTTGGAGGAATTAATCAAGTTAACCATTCGGCTGGATAACAGACTTCGAACCAGAACCAGATCAAGACAAGGAAGCCATGTTTTTTCTGCTGCTGCCTCCACATCTAACTGCACATCTGTTTTTTCTGAATCACCAGAGTCCAGTACCAGACCAAGAACTAAGAATCAGTCTGTATTCGCCCCTGTTCAAGCTACTCACTTTGTCTCCTCGCCCACAGAAAGACCCGAGGTTTAACCCATGCTGATTGTCCATACTAGGCTTTCCAATGAAGAGAGGCAGCGAAGGTTCCTAGGGAAATTGTGCCTTTACTGTGGTGAGCCTGGCCATTTCATTTCCTCGTGCCCAGCTAAGTCAAAAGCCGGGGTCCGTCAGGGGATGTAAGGAGTCTGACGGACCATCTACAATCTAGAAAATCTCCTCACCTCCTGTTACCTGCAACTCTGTTCTCCTCTGATCAAACTCTTACTTTGTCAGCCTTTATAGATTCTGGATGTGAAAGAAATCTAATTGATGCTAACCTGGTTCAACAGCTCAAGATTGAGACTGTCCCTCTGAAGAAGCCCCTCAGAGTCTCTGCCATTGATGGAAAGAAGCTGCACCAAGTCACACATCAAACCCGGCCGTTAGAGCTCCTGATTTCTGGTAACCACAGAGAGACTCTAACCTTTTTCGTTTTTCCTTCAGCATGTTCATCCTTAGTACTGGGATATGAGTGGCAGAAACATGTAATACACTTCCATATTCTAAAGTAAAATTGAAAACACAAAAATGTATTACTGGTATAAGTTTTTTTTTATTTTGTAATATGATTTATTCGTTTTTTCAATTTTTAATGCATTACAAACTCTTAACTGTTCGAGGAAATAAATAAAACAAACATACAGATTGACGTATATGCATGTGAGGTGTTAAGCAAACTATAATCTTAAAACACACAAACTGCAGTGCACACATAAAAATCTTTGTTTGGGGGGAGTCATGTCTTACTGCTTGTTTTGTTGGGAAATATTAAAAATTGTATGTGAACAACAAAACAATTGAAAGGTTGACTAGCTTTATTATTTTCAATACTTTAATATACAGTTTATTTATAGCAGCTGTACAAGATACTATTACAATATTCAGGATCAGATCTTTCATATATGTGATGGGTATTCATTTTCATTAGAAATTAAGAAAAGCATACTCCGTAAAAATGTTTTCTCGGTGTATAAAACTGCATAACTCGCACATGGTAGTTGCCTTAAAGTGACTGTAGAAAATAAAATATTCATGAACTTCTATTCAAAGTGCAGTTTCTGTTTAGAATTTTCTTTTATCATTTTCTATAGTGGGGAGATTAAGAATCCGCTGAATGTGGAATAAAGATATTCATTATCACTTATTTTCCTTGAATCCCAGAGGCGGACGTTCACCATGTCTCCAGCCTCCACCAGCAAGACGGCGCTGTTGGAACCAGTGATGGGCGAAATTTTGCTGTAACCATACCATGACACAAGGGCGTTACCATTTTGGTAAAGACTTCCACCAGTGGTCCATCACCTGGCCAGCACAATGAAGAAAACGAAAAGTAGTAGATTCCTCTCACAGGCGCTGTAAAGTAGCCTGCAGATGTAAAAAAAAAGTAAAGCAGACCACAAAAATCAGCCGTAGAATACAAAGAGGAAATATCTTTTAGATCTTTAACTATGTAAGAGTTATAAGTTTTGGTTTTAGACAAAATAAAAAATATTTTAGTAGCAAATCATGAAATAGAAAGTTAAATACTGACCCGTCACTGGACTGTAATGACCTCCAATGTTGGACAGAACTTGTTTGTATACCAGCGGATAAAGAACATTCACTTGACCAATGGTTCCGCTTACTGGCTGTGCTACAGAAAATGCCACATGATGTTGTTCTGAAATTGAAAAGAAATTGACAATTGCAAGTAAAAAAAAAAAATAGAGAACCATTTTTAGTCTAAAGATTACAATATCAGTAGCTGACTAGGGAATCTCAAAGGATCCTTATTAATTTGAAAGTCAATCTAATGCCAATATCTATATGTTTTTTTTTTATGTACAAATAATTGGACTTTCAATATTAGATATTATTGACCTTTAGCTAAAACAGGTCTTAGAGTATGCTGAAACTCAAAACTAATGTGGCGTTAACACAAAGTAGATCCCTGAAACTCTCAGGATTCTTTACATTCTGCTCATAAGCTCTGTTTGCAAGTCTATTGTGTCTTCTATATGATCAAGATAATTATAATCAGCAATGATGTTTTGATTCACAAAAAAAGGTAAGAAAATTTTTCTTTTGGAATTTTTACTGTTATGACAGTGATAAAAAAAAAGGTAAATCAGTAAGAAAATTGACCAAAACCCTAACTACTTTTTGAAATTCTTTGCAAATAGATGTATTACTCTAATTATCTCTTAATCAAATACCAACAACAAATATGCTATTGAGTTAATGTTGTTGCCAATCAAAAACACTATGTGTGATATATTTTTATGCAATAAGTTACCTTCATAAATAGTTTTCATCTCTTTCAGTGTGTTGTTAAGAGTAATAACATTCTTCTCGCTGGCTTCCAGCTTTCTGTTGGTTTCCTCGAGGGCTCTCACCGTGGCTTTCTGCCTCTCTTCAAGAGCCCCAAGCTCTTTTAGCGCTGTGCAGATGTTTGGTTCACATGCTGTCTCTTTAGCTTTTGTGTTGGATTCCTTAGCTGTTAATATTTGAAGCTCCTGACTGAATGTCTCTTTGTCCTCTGTCTCTGTCAAATTTTTTTCTGGCTCTTCAACTGTGGGCTCAGTGACAGTCTGGTTGTTCTCGCCTTCAGCCTGGCAGGTTGACAGCAAAACAACCAGACCCATGAGAATGAGCACAGATACAGACCTCATTTTTCAGCTTGGTTTATGCTTTTCAGATATGTCTGCATGTCCTTTAAGAAAAATGTTCAAGGACTTTGAAGATGTTACCATATATAGAGAGATTGTAGAGTTAATCATAAGATTTGGTTAAAGATTTCAATCTGCTTATAGGATAAGAACTATGATAACATGTAAATATTTCCTTATTGTTTTCAAAAGAATATTTGTTTTTCAGATGTCTTATGACTTTACTGAATGTTCAAAGTCTTCTGCTCAATAAAATCAAGAATGATTAACTGTTCCAAAGAATGTTTTATGGTCAATACAGATTATACACGTGAGTTTCCAGTTAACTTGCTCTTCTTGTTTTGTCCCATATCAGAATCCCAGAGATGATACCATATATAGTTGCGTTTTGCCTACATGTACCTGGGAGGATTTAATTACAAACATATGTTTAATTGCTATCTTAATTCTGTTGTTAGCTTTTTGTATAGAAACTTCATTAAATCAAGATGTCATCTGCAAAATAAATGGATTAAGATATTACAGGAAAATAAATTAGAGCTTATGCTGGAGTTACCCCCAGATTCCACATACTCCGTCAGCGCTCCGCCCCGCTGACGTACGTCGTGCGGAGCGCTTGTCTTTCATGGAAATCAATGAGAGCTGTTCCACATCCACCGCTACTCCTCCGCATGTCTCCGTCCAGGTACGTCTTCTCCGTCCGTCACCAACAAATTATGGAGCCGAGCTATTTTTTGCTCCGCTCCGGTCCGGCTAGGTCAAGATCCGCAATTGCAATCGCACCAAACAGGAAAAAGAACATCGACAAATTCCGGTTCGTCAAATTAAAATATAGCAGCAACAGATCGGTGACTAGAAATTATAGTACAATTGGTATTAAAAAAAAAACTAACACCGTTTATTTAAAAGATACAATCCAAACTATTGGTTATTCACCAACCAGGAAGCAGATTTCTCATCTCCATCAAAATATTTATTTTATACAGTGGGACTTAAAGTTTAATCAAATCCATTCAAAAGAAACTTATTACAGGAATGAAAAGAGATGCTGAGTTTGGGAATACAGAACAAGTTCATAAAAAAAAAAGCTGTTTTGAATTATCCTTATCCCCGTTACAAAAATCTACAAAAAAAAAAAAAAATATATATATATATATATATATATATATATATATATATATATATATATATATATATATATATATATGGGCAGAAACTGAACATATGCTGGATGCTGGTGGGATTTTTTTAATATGCCATTAAATTAAGCACTCACAGGGTTCATACAGGAATGAGTGACTCTAATTTATTGCTATTTTAATGCTATTAGAAATTATTTTAATGCCATTAACAAGAACCATGTACACAAGTTATTAGTGTAAATGAAATATGAAGGAGCTGGAAGCACAGTTCCATGACTCCTGTATGTATGTAAACACACACACACACATATATATATACGTATATATATATATCCTCTAGCTTTTTCTCCGCCTGGAGCTTCCTTTCCGAACATACGGCTTTATGATCAGTTCCACGCAAATTAATAGCGATATAATATATCGGACGAAATTGTTTTTATAAACATTTAAAGAATTATAAATACTTCGATAAACATATTTAAATAATTTTTGTGCCAATTAAGGCCTTGATTTAAAGAAAAAATGAATGAATTGTAATTATTTTTAATGATCCGCGGAAACCCTGGTTCATCTCGCGCATGCTCTCTACGATCTCCAAGGAACTCAGAGCGGAGCGGAGGGGACCACAGCGGCGGCTGAAGGCTTTGCTTTGCGCAGGCGGTCTGGAGTGCAGCGGGGCGGAGCGCATGCAGCGCTGACAGAGTATGTGGGACTTCAGGGTTAGTGATATCATAGATTCTTATTTTTACCTTTGCATTTTATTTCTCATAAGGCCTATTATCAAAAGTAACCTAAGAGCATGTTGTTATGTGGTATTGCCTTTTTAACGGAAGAGCTGATGGGCAAAAGAAAGATGGAGGGACGATAACCCACTGTTTTTCTAGAGGGTTAAAGGTTAGAGGGCTGTTTATGTAACGGGAACTGAAAGTTGGACCCAGGGGCGTCTCTAGGTTTAAGAGACAAGGGTGGCTCAGCCCCTAGAAGATATTGCGCGCGCCGAAATTTTTTCAGTGCACCTGCTAAGGCGTTGTCTAAGACAAGGGTGTAACTTTGTGTTGAAAGTTGGTGGGGACGGCTCATAAGGAAAGGGAGCTACCTGCGCGACGCCTTTTTTTTTTTGTTGTTGGAAAGGATAAAGCCAAAAAAATGCGAATAACATTTATCAATTTAATGCTTACAGTTGAAAACATAACTGTTACAATTTTCACTTATATATTTTGTGCAAAAAATATCACATAAATCTAAACAGACGGTACATATCAAAGAAATCAAATAAATATATCAATTTTGTAGAACATTTATTGACAGTCAATTTTGGGTCACTTTTTAAAATTAATTTACTTTTAAACCAGGACTCGGACAAGATCTTATGGGGCCTTAAGCAGAATATGATTAAGCAACTCTGTCTTTCTGTCAAGAACATCCACCAGCAGGGTATCCAGGGGGGGATTTACCATTAGGCAATACTAGGCAGTTGCCTAGGGCCCCAAGTTCCTGTGGGCCCCATAAAACTCTGTTTCCATGTATGGTTAATACAACTAATCCTTATTTGTGCACATTAATTATGTTTTTGATAAAAATCCTTTGGCTAAAATGCCATCAGAACGCTGATAGAGAGGAAAAAGGGACAAGAAGAGAGGGACAAAACCTAGAACAAATAATGGATGTCTATTCTATTAACATTTCTCTATCTGTAGAATGGGTCTGTTTTATGGGTTTCTTCTCAGGGGGGCCCCTGCCTGTCTTTGCCTAGGGCCCCAAATTTCCTAAATCCGCCCCTGAGGGTATCAATACTGATTTGATAGAATCTGGGAGAGCGGACTATGTTCAACCATCCATTTTCTTTAACCTTATCCCTCAGTGGGATCAGGAGGTGCTGGTGCATATCTCTAGCCACGTTCTGGGTGAGAGGTGGGATCACCCTGGACAGGTCACCAGTCTGTCGCAGTATGTTCAACCAGCTTAAAAGTAATCGGTAATCAGATTTATTATTTGCACTTTTACCAAGTGAACTTTCTAACTCCCTTAAATCTGAAATTCCAATGCCAAAATTGTTTAAATCTTTTATCTTTGGACCCCCTGCAGAGTGACGTCACACCTGCAAGATCCTATCCTTACCTTCCTGCTAGATTGCAAAAAGCAGCTTGCTCATGAGTTGTCAACTTAACACGCTAAATCTTAAATGTACGTGTACATATAAAAGGAAAAGGGGCGCAGTGCTTGCTACTGAATGGCAACACTATCAAAGTCAGGAAAAAGTTTTAAGTAAAGCCGGGATTAAAACAGTAGCTACAAGAAGCTTCAAATAAAAGGTGTTCTTTATGTTCAACCTAAACACCAACTCCGATAGAGCATCAGTAGAGCAGGTGTTTAAATTAATCAATCACTGCTGCGAAAGCTTATAGCAGTGAAAGCTATTATACCACAGCCATCACTTAATAAACGCAAAATAAACAACTCTCTAAAAACGGAAAACTGTAATGGACTGAAAGTCCTGTTTTTTATGTGGGAAATTATTTGCGTGTGTTTTAGTATAATTCTGATATATTGGCGCTGTTGTCTGTTTCTATGGCAACGATACTGAATGTAGTGTAGCTTAGAGACCTGCATGGGTCGAGTTTTACCAACCCGCACCCGCCTGAACCCGTTAGGATGACTACCGAACCCGACCCGTCACCCGCGGATATCTTCAATTCAAATCCGAACCCGACCCGACCCGTTGATATTTAACCCGCAACCCGACCCATTAACACATCATAGGCTATTGGACGCTGCGCTGCACCCAGTGCCTGATTAATATAACATTTCTGATGTCCATAACAACACACACGCATAAAAAAAAAATCACCAACTACCCGCCCGCACAAAAAAAATATCCGCCCGACCCGTTTATTATTTTTTTTTATGTATTTTTCGCGGGTACCTGACCCGTTGCAGGACTCTAGTGTAGCTGACATAACAGGGCCGGAAAAAAGTGGTTTGAGTTTTTTTTCCCAACGGTTCAGTTAGGCTATATTTTAAATACGGTATTAACTTATTTTTACACTATTCTCTATTCTTTTACTACTTTAAGTCTCTCCTGACTAAAATTAGGTCTTAATATTTCCACAAGTCCCTCTCACCTGCAAGTCTGAGTCCACTTCTGTCCCTGAAGCGACAGGTGTTATGGGGAGAGGGCGGAGGGGGGTGATGGGGAGAAAGCGAGAGGAAACAGATTCTTTTTTCTGAGTTTTTTAGATTAACTTCTCTTCTTTATGGCTTTTATTCTGTGCTTTACTGCATTTGTTCTGGGAAAATATGAGGAAAAAATTAATTCAGAAAAAAAAAATATTTTTTTTAAAATCGCAAAATAATTATAGGGTGGCTAATGCCAAAGAAAGGATGACTGAAGCCACCCTTAAATAGGTCTAACGACGCCTATGGTTGGACCCAATATTCAGCAGACAACAGAAAGTTTCAAAACAGGTTTATTTAAAAAAAAAGTGAAAGAGGACGATGGAAACTCCTCAGAGAGGGTTCTCTGATTCTCTGCTGAGACAGGAAACTCAGGTCAGTGACAAGAATGAAGAGTGGAGAAGACAAACAAAAAGTCACTGACCTGGTTGAGAGTTCAGTCCGTGCCCAGAGAGGAGAAACCCGGGGG